GTTGCTTTCCAGTATTATACTTATTTTTCGAATTATTTTTCTTTTCTTTGGTTGTTTTTTTAAGTCTTAAATTCTCCATTCTCTTTCCCCCCTTTCCTTTTTCTTCCCCACATAAAATTGCTTGTTCATTAAAGATGGCTTCTTCTTTGTCCCAGTCTTCTTGTTTTGCAGTCTTTTCTTGTTGTTTCTCATAGTTCCAAATCTCCATTTCTAAGAATTGAAAAACGAAGCCAAAAGAACCCTTCCCCTTCTTGTGCATCTTCTTTGTACTTTTTAAGTTCCATTTTCAATTCATCCAGAAGTGGTGCCATTGTATAAATTTTTAAACAACCACCCGATTGATTTTAGTCATTCAAATATAATAACCAAGAATCCAAAGATCACCAAATAATCCAAATACACGCAAGCTGTTTCTTTTTTGCTCTTTTTTTTTCACTTTCTCTTCCTGGGGTTACTATTTAGTTGCAAAGTTTCAGTTAAAATGTATCTTTTAGAAGTCTTGTTGAAGTTTTACTGTAGATTCTTTTTAATTCCAGGCAGTCTCCTCCCTCTTCCAGATCCTGCCCTTATTCTTTTTCTCTCCCTTCCTGCTTATGAAAAAGAAAGTTTTTAATGTCCAGAAATCCTTATTATCCCTTTGGCATTTTGTTTTATTTTCAGCTTAATTGCCTATTGATGTCAAAGCGGATTTTTCCGATTTCTTATTTAAGTCTCTTAGTTGTCAGTATAGGGAAGGAGAGAGAAGGAAAAAAAAGCCAAACCTTTCCCTTTTCACTTTCCTTCGCTGCTTCCGACTCTTCTTTGGGAGTGATGTTATTTTTTGTAAGTTTAAATTCCAGGGTACCTTGGTTGTTGCTTTTACAATTTAACCCGGTCAGCCAAAACTTTCACTTCTTATCTTCCTCCAGCACATTCTTTTCCAGTCGAGTTCTTCTTTGTGGTGGCCATTTCTGACCACCGCTACAAGCGCCTTCGGGAAAAGGAGTAATGGCCAGCTGAGGAGGAGAGATGAGGCTCTCCTCAACCCTGCTGGTGGTCTCCCCCCTCTTCACCACCTCTGTGGGGTGGCTTAGCCCCGAAACCAGCCGGCTCGGGGCGCTCCAGCAGCGAGCCCAGACAGAAACTGCGCACGATCGCGGATTTCTCTCTGTCGCCGAAGCCTTTCAAACCGGAAGTCAACCTTTTTTAGTCTTTAATGATGCCCACTGGACTACCAGTTTATTTTAAAGTTGAAAACACTTTCAGCAATGAAATATTATTGTTCTGTGGTTTGATCTGCAGAAAGGGAAGATGAAAGAGGCAGCACAGCGGTATCAGTATGCCTTAAGGAAGTTTCCTCGAGAGAGTTTTGGAGAAGAAATGAAAGCTTTCAATGAACTCAGGGTTTCCTTATACCTGAATTTATCAAGATGTCGCAGAAAAACTAATGTAAGCTCCTTTCCAAGTTTTTCCCCATGGTATGATTTGCAGAAAATAATTCTGGGTGGAACTGCCAGTTTAGATAATACTAATTCAGCAGCTTTTTTGAATAATGGGCAATTGCCTTAAAAAAAACATTTGTAATGACTTACAGTTTCATCCAAGAATATAAAGTTTTTGAAAGTTTTGGCTCTTTTAGTATTGTTTAAATTGGGTGGGGGATGAGGGAGGGCACCATGTGTTCTTGACACTGTTTAAGTGTGACTGCTTGCATATCTTTTCAGACATCTTTTACAGTGTCTGATCTTTCAGACATCAAGGTATTTCTGAAAGCAATTTGGGTACCCACATCTTCAATTCATGACAATCATCTGTATCTCAGGTATAGATGGATCACAAACAGATTCAGAAGTGGGATTAGGAAGATGTCTTGAGGTTATCTAAGCAGATACTCCTCAGTCAAATGGTTATATTAATTTCTGCACTGTTAATTTTGGCAGGATTTTGGCATGGCAGAGGAATTTGCTACCAAGGCCCTTGACCTCAAACCCACATCCTATGAAGCATATTATGCTAGGGCAAGAGCCAAGAGGAACAGCAGGTACTTAAAGCCCTTTTGCAATAATATTTTGGTAATATTTTAAAAAAATGTGTAAGAATGATGATACGGCCTTCAATATTACATTTTGACAAAAGACCGAGAAGTTTTCTACTGGTTTCCAAGCTGTTAATGGATATTTTGTGTTACTTTTGTTTGTTTATGCTGGCAGAATTTCCAGTCTTGGTGGGGTACCATGATGGTCTGTGGAACTGAACAGAAAAACTGTTAACTGACACTTACAGTATTATGAGGAAAAAAATAATTGGGATATTTTTGGAAGGAGCACAAAAAATGGTTAAAATCACCTCCTTAAATGCCATAATCAAACACTGACTTCAACGAAATTGAAAATATTGGGATGTGCAATATATATGAAACAGCCTTACTATCACCCTTTTTGGTATAATTTTCTAAAAAGAGGGGGAAACATAATGCTTTGCTAAAAGCAAGGCTTGGTTATGTGTATTTATTTCCTTTCCAAACTGAGATACATTTTTTTGGACTGGGCGCTCTTGTCTAAAACAGCAGTACATTAGCTTTTTTGAGTCAGGAGCCACATTTTAAAAACTGGATGAGGCCAAGATAACAAATACCATTTAACAGTAATAACAGAAAATTATGTTAATTAAAGCATAACTATTATTCCACATTTATTTAATTTACTAGGTTAGGTTTTCTATTGTTCTTTGTCAGTAATTTTTTAAGAGTTTTGAGGCCTATTGTTCCTATATTTGGAAGTAGCAGATTATACTGTTTTGTCGCTGACGTAAGAGAACATTTACCAAGTTATTTATCTGATCTTTATTTAATATATCAAATTTATTTTTACACTATTCATCAACATAAAACTTTTTACTATTTTACATTTTTGCATGCTCTCTAGATGCATATTGTAGCACATCCAAAACTTGCCATAGTATGAAATGTACACAGATGTGCATATGTCTTAGGAATGCAATGTTAAGGGAAGATACACAGTTCTGCAGAGGAACCTTTCCAGACTCCTCAGGACCATTCTGGATTATACACAATGTCCTTTATCTCCTTCAGAAGAAAGCCCATTGCAGAAAAAGAAGCCACTTTCATGAAAACTGTTTTATTGCTAAGGGCATTTTTGACAAGGGGTTGCTTTTTTTGAAACTGCTTTGGGAAATAAGGCCAGGAGCTTATCGTGCTACTCTTGAAAGGGATTTACAAAAGAAGTGGGTTATGAAATATATATATAAAAGGAACTGCCAAAATATATATATATACTGTGGCTTGTTGTAGCGAAAAGAGGAATGTGCCAAACTCATTGTTTTTTTGGATTTCCTTTCTTCCAGGCAATTTCAGGCAGCCCTCACAGATCTGCGGGAAGCCATAAAGTTGTGCCCTGGAAACCAAGAAATCAAGAGACTGCTAGCTCGAGTTGAAGAGGAGTGCAAACAGCTCCAGAGAACGCAGCAACAAAAGCAGCAGTGTTTTCAGGCGACGCAGCAGAGCAATGACTCTGACTATGAGGGTGAAGTACTTGTGCAGGATCACTTCAGCCTGGAAGAGATAAAAGAGGAAGAATTTTTGTGTGAACAGGAACCTGGTCCAGCTAGGCCAAGATTGCCACTTTCCCAGGCTTCTTTATCCTGTAGCAGAAACCCTCAGGAAGGTACCCAGCAGAAATTTAGGCCTGTATCTCCTCCAAACAGAGCTGGCAGTGCATATTTGCGAGAGCCTGGCTTGTCTGTGCAGTCCACGAAACAAGCTCAGATAGTAAAAACCAGTCAGCATCTGAATTCTGCCCAGGCTGGGGCAAGACTTAGTTCTAGCCAGTCTGGCACAAAGATTCAGCACCTTCAGTATCTTCCTTCAAGCCCTGTGACTTCCAGGCACCATATGACTCCGAACAATAAAGCACAGCATTTAGATGGGGCACACACAGTATCAGCAGGCAGTACCTGTGCACTATTCAATGAAAGATTAGCAGCTGGCCAGGTTCCCTACTTGCAGCCTAGTGACAAAGGATCTTTCATGAGTAAGTCCAAAACACATGAGAAGCTGGCCGTGTATCCTCCTCCTCCATTAAGTCAAGGAACTGGTGAATTAAGGCAGCAAAGTAGCGCCAGTTTACTTTCTGTCAACATGGCACCTTCCAGCTCAACAAGCAGCTTGTCATCTAGCAGCAGCTTTTCTGAATGCATGGCAGGACAAAATCTCGACATGCAACTCAAGGAGAACAAAGCCTGGCTTGGTCAGAGTGGTTCAGCCGAACACCGGTCCCGCAGTATTCCATTCATGGGGATCATGGATAAAACTGTACGCTTCCAGCAGCAGCAGATGAACCCCTCGAATCGCAGTTGGCACAGCCAAGCTACAGAAGGGGTCCTGAAGAGTTCTGGGACAGCTTTATCTGCAAGCTGGGAGTTTTCTTCCAAACCAGCAAGCAACTCTGCAAATCAGGGTTTATCTTTCTCTCCCTCTTCCCTAATAATAGGAGACAATCTCCAAAATGGAACTCAGTCTAAAGAACTGGAGGAATTAAGGCACCAAGCATCTGCCGGTCCTCAAGATAACAGGATAGGTAAGCCGGTGGCTCATTTATATCAGGAAGCTCTCTCCAAACAGCATTCTCAGCTAAGCAAAGACATTCATTCAAGTCACATCACTTCTGCAAAACCAAAGCGATCTTTTGTAGAATCTAATGTATGAGCCACTGTTCTGTTGCAAATTAATAACAGGGATGAGCTTTTGGCTGTAAAACATACTGCAATAGTGGCATATAGGTTACTGCTATTATTCATATTTTAGGGAGTGTATCACAAAAATGTGATCTTGTAGCTGCAATATGAACATTAACCCAGCTATCCTATCGTCGTTTTTTTTAAATAGGTTCTTAAGGTATTTCTTAACACAGTTGAAAAGTTCCATCATTTATGCCAATCTTTGCAAGTTCGGATTTACGCAGCCTGCGGCAGTATAGCAAACTAATTTTTCTTTTTTTTAAAAAAAAAAATGTATTTTAAAAATCTGCAGTCCTGAAGCTGAAGTGGTATATACAGTCACTGGGGACTAAGTCTCAATGAACATAAATATAATTTACTTCTCAGACTATAGGATTGTGTTGTAAAACTCACTTTGTTCGGTCATGTATATTGTTTATTGTTTAAATTTGATTTATTGGTTCCAGAGGATGGAACCCACCTACTTTTGTCAATGAGTATTTTCTTAGAAGGAAGATTGACTGTTATTCTCCCACTTTTATAAACCTGGCAAATATATCATCTTTACAAATATTTCAGCAGTGATATTTTATTCCATGCAATTGAGGCTGTCTATCATTATTGCAAGGCAAGAAGTAAAATTTTGCATGCATTTTATTCAACATCTTTGTTATTGCACTGACTCATATGACAAGTTAACAACATACAATCAGCACTTTACATAGTTTATCTAAACATCTTTTGAGGTGTTATATCAGAAAAACAAAGAGAAATACAGGTCATAGAGTATTTTTTATAGAACATCTAATATCTATCTGAGGGAGAAGCTTACATAAAGGCCATTGATACTTTCCTCAGTATGCAGTAGGAAATATCTATTTAAATTACAAATTGTTCTTGAAGAGGCACATTTGTAAGGATGCTCCTGTAAGTAATAAAGGCTGGTTGTATAAGCTGGAAAATTCTGTAGTCCCTTCAACAAATTTATTTCCATATGTACAGAATATATGTTACATTATAACAACTTCACACATTTTTTAAAAAAAAGCATTAAAAAGTCTGTTTTGGAATGACTTAATCTATTCTGTAGCTTATTTATTGTTTATCTTGGTATTTGTACAATCTTATTCTCTTGTTCTGTAGATCTATTTTTTGCACAGCTACTGTATTTTTCTCTTATTAAATAAAAGATTATTAATATAGTTTCTGGTTCAGTAGTGTAGTTTTACAGCACAACGCTGAGGTCATCATTAATGCAAGCTTAATTAGGATCCATTTCAAATGTAAAATATATGAACAATCTGCATAGATTACTTCTCTCTTCCAAAAATTGTTGGAACCCAAGTGAGTGTTTAATATTTGTAGATGAACTCAACAGCTGGTCTCCAATAAGTTGACAATTATTCCATGCCACAACTTTGGTTGAATTGTCAACTTTCTATCTAGGCTACACATCTAGAAAGGCACTGAAATAGGAATGTATTGCAGTTGTACAAAGTTATAATTGGTCGTGAGATGCCCTTTTAGTTAAACTGCATAGTCTGGGAAGTTTTTTCACTTCATTCTTGATCATAGTCCTCTGAAGACAAAGATTGCTTGTAACACATTTAATAAAAGGAACATGGTTTCAGGGCAATAATTCTGCTGTTAACACCAGGTCATGCAAAATCTAACAGCACATGGTCATGTCAACTTGATAAAAGAGTCCTAGGAAATCTCAGAACTGGAAAACTAACTTCAGATTCTTGCTCCTTGTACTAGCTCTTTCTGAGCTCAACAAAACATGACACCAGACCCATTTCACAAAGGTATTTGGAAGAAGGCTGGGCAAGACAGGCTTTTGATCCCAAAGATCTAAGTACCTGTTGCTCTCTGTCAGGGCCATGGTGTTCCCACATTCTTTGGAATAAACAGGAACATAAATATGTACACTTAGAGATCCAGGACAGGGATAGAAAAACGTGCATCTCCCTGGCCTCAATTCTTTATTTCTGGTCTACTATGGGCTCAGCCCAGGAGTTTTTGGCAAGCTCTGATATCGAAATCTAGGAAAAGTCACATCATTACTTTGCTGGTTGCTAAATAACTTACTGCAGAGCATAATCTATTACAAGCTATATACTGTCTTGAAATTAATAAAACTTACTTTCTAACCCATGCATACTTAATCAAAACCAAGTCCTACGTCAATGGAATCCATTTTAATATAAATATCACTGCAGCCATGATGATTTCATTCAATAACAGAAACTTAAAATCATTTGTAACAATAGCTGACATTTGTCAAGGCTTAAATTATTTGAGATAATGTTATCAATTAACCCGTGTTTTTAAAAAAAGTGCACCGTATCAACAGGAAGCAGCTCACTATTGAAATGTTTTGCATACCTTTAGATTCATTTCCTCTAATTTTGAAAAAAAGGTGACAGTCTTTAAGGTGCTTGCTTTTCATTATATTTTTGCTGAGTTTCCAACCAGCGATTAATAGCCATTTTTAGTGCTCGGTTTGGGGTAAGTACAAGTCTCTGAAGAGGGAGATTCGTCATTGGACTAGAACGCCGTTTTTTAATTATCCAATTTTCTATTGCTTCTTTCTCATAGGAGTAGCCATCTAAAGAAAGAAATAAGCATTCCTGAAAACAGTCGTGCTCTATTAATCATAACTTAAAGCAAAAATTCTAGTCTCTTCAGATAGAAAATGGATCAACTTTGTATCAATAGACACAAATGTACATATATTATTTGGAAGAAATCAGTATGAACTTTGTAACTGCCTCCTCTGACTCGTAACGCAATAAGAATCTACTAATGTACAGATGTAAAAGATTAATACAATGTAGAAAATTTCATTAAATACCGTTTTTATGTTACACAAAATCATTCAGTACCACTGCTTGAAGTGACAAAGTGTTGTGTCTTTTACATCTTTTACAGAAGGCTCCTGCTGCTTTGGCAGCAATTCAGACTGGAAGTGCTGTCTTGACTAGTCATTCATATTCAGACGCTGTGAGGCGGCTCCTGAGGCAGCCACACAGAGCTTTTGAAAGGCCCCAGCATGGCGAACTGATCCAAATAGCTTTGCACTGTCATAATGCATACATGGATGCCAAGCTGGGATCAGGTATGCTGGCTCAATATGTGGAGGGCCACAATTGCTGAGAACTCTGCTATGCGAAAAAGGCCTTTCTTGACAATTTAAATTCCTGTTTGCAGGATCCGGACTGTACAAGTGTTACCTTCACACACTGAAATTTTCTTCACCTGCAGTATGTAAACAGGGAAAGCATGTCTCTTCCCGCTCCCCTCAAAACTAAGTCCTGTGTACTTACAGATGACAGCTTCGTTAAAGGCTACAATTTTATGTACTAGTAAGACATTTTTATAATTGTAAGCAAAGTCTTTGCCCCACCCACACCAAAAAATGCAGGATTGAAAAAAAAAATTGAGATTGCAAAGATTTGATAAAAACTCATTCTCAATAATGCCAAATAAGAATATAAGCATGGAATAATGAAGGAACTTGCAAATAAAATATTTTTCTTGTATTTTAAACATTATTCAATTTTACATAGTTATTGTGGGGCAGAATGTAGGTTTTAGAAATAGAAAAGGCTCAATTTCTCTTTGTGTTAATGCTTTAGAACAGGGTTACCCAACCCCTGGGCTGCGGCCTACTACCGGGCTGTGGCCCATTAGGAACTAAGATGTGCCAGTGGCAAGTGAGCGCACATGTGCACTACTCCACTCATGCGAGCAGCGAGCACTGATGCTCGCAGCCCCACTTTGTAAGAGCCAGATGCAGGCACTCGTAGCCCCACTCACGCGAGCAGCAGGCACTGACATTTGCAGCCCCGCGAGTACAAAAATATCCCCTCTTCCCCCTCCTCCCCGCTGCAAGAATTAAAGCGCAAGAATTAAAATACTGTATTCCAATCAAATATATCTGAACCTCATACCATACAGTCATTCATCAGACAATATGAATATTTTCTCATCTGGAAATAACTGATTTTCATGAAATTAAAAAGATGGAATAAAAATGTGTCACTAAACATTTTCTACTGATGGATCTCACTCTCTCACTAGTTTGCTATAAGTGAGCTAGAATTCTCAGTATGCCGAGTCTGTTACTTTAATCCTGGAGTTTAAAATTAATTTCCAAAAACTCATCACAAAGCTGTCAAAGGAATAATCAAAACTGCTACACAGAGTCCCTTGTGTCCTAAGCTTTTCATGTATAAAACAGAAGCACAAAATTGTGACGTTACTGGGCGATATTCAGTTCTGCTAAGAAAAAGAAATAGCATATAAACGTACTGCCAATTTTTGTAGGGAATGTTGCCTACTTAAGTCACATAGACTTTCCAAAGAATTTAGAAATTTGTAATCTACTTTCCCTCACCTTCCTTTTGAAATAAGAAAGAAATAATTTAGCACATGCTGCATTCAGATATAGCTTTCCATCAAGAATGTGGGCTTTCAAATTTGGGGTCTCCATTTCCGTTGTGCTTAGCTACAATAGTTATTTTTCAGGAAGATTTGTATTTGTTATAACTTCATATGGCCACCAATCCAATACACATGACTCTGGGCAGCTAACAATTAAAAATGAGTAAAATCAATAACCAAATTATAAATTGCATAAAATAGCAGCAGAAGACTTTCACTGCATACCACAATTGATACAACCAGAAACTGGCCTCACCCTATATTACCAGGAGTCCTGGCTTGATGGCAAAACCAGATCATTAAGGCCCTGTGAAAAGCCAGAAAACTTCAGGATGAAGTCTTTGTAGGCACGCCAGATGGCACGCCATTGCAGACGGGACCTGGAGCATACTTTACCTGCTGATTTAATAGAATGGGAAGATACCAATATGGAGGTTCACATCTTCCTAATTCCCACTTCATCAGAAATAACTTAACTTCCCAACCCATTTTGGGTTCTTTGTTCTTCCAAAACTAATTACTGAAGATCATAGGGCAGGGGTGGGCAAACTTTTTGGCTCGGGGGCCCGCATTCACTTTTAAAATTTGACAGACGGGCCGGGTCAGCACAAGATTTTTTGGGAATCGCCCCCCCTTCCCCCCCTTCTTCTCCTTCCCCTCCCCTCGGAGGCCCCCTGAGTCAGGAGTTGCTACTGCCGGCACGGCTCCACGCGGCTCCAGTCCCACGTTGCCTCGGGAAGGGAAAGGCAAAAAGAGCCACGGCGGTGCTTTGCAACAGCAGCAGCGGCACCGGAGGTTCAGGCTCAGCGGCTCCTGGTTTTGCCTTTCCCTTCCCAAGGCAACGCGGGGACTGGAGCCGCACGGAGCTGCGCCGGCAGTAGCAACTCCTGACAGCCCCAGCCGGACACCTGAGCAGAGCCCGGGCAGAACTGCCTGTTGCTGCTGCGGGCGCTGCTGCGGGTGTCTGGCTGCCCAAGTAAAGAACCGCACCAGCTCAGGGCAACTGTGAGGAGCAAGAGGGGAGAGGCAGAGAAGGAGGCAGAGAAGGAGGAGAGCACCTGGCCAGTTGGGGGAGGCTTCTTGTGCTGCGAAAGAGGCGGCTAATGATCTCCGGCTCCACTCTGCTTCTCCAACATCCGGCACCGCCCTGTTCTGTGCGCCGGCTGCTCGGACTTGCTGGGCCTGACACAGAACAGGGTGGCGCCGGATGTTGGAGAAGCAGAGCGGAGCCGGAGATCATTAGCCGCCTCTTTTGCAGCACAAGAAGAACAGGGTGGTGCCGGACCATTGGAGAAGCGGAGCAAAGCCGGAGATTAGTAGCTGCCTCTTTCGGCGCAGAAAGCTTCCCCCAACCAGCCGGCTGGTCTCTTCCTCCTCGGCCATACAAAACAAACAGACAGAGAAGGAGGAGAGCAGCTGGTCAGTTGGGGGAGGCTTCTTGTGCTGCCAAAGAGGCGGCTAATGATCTCCGGCTCCACTCTGCTTCTCCAACATACGGCACCGCCCTGTTCTGTGCGCCGGCTGCTCAGACTTGCTGGGCCTGACACAGAATAGGGTGGCGCCAGATGTTGGAGAAGCAGAGCGGAGCCAGAGATCATTAGCCGCCTCTTTCGCAGCACAAGAAGAACAGGGTGGTGCCGGACCATTGGAGAAGCGGAGCAAAGCCGGAGATTAGTAGCTGCCTCTTTCGGCGCAGAAAGCTTCCCCCAACCAGCCGGCTGGTCTCCTCCTTCTCTGCCTGTTTGTTCTGTATGGCCAAGGAGGAGGAGACCAGCTGAGAAGCACGCTGCCAGGCGGGGGCCACGCGGTGCAGGGCAATACGCCACCGCCCAGCCCTGGCTTGGGAAAGCAGTGGGCGTTCCCCGGGCGGTGGCCTTGGCCCTGCTAGCAGGGAAGCAGCTGCCCAGCTCCGTGTTGTGTGTGCAATTTTTTGGCGCGCGGCGCGGGGTCTCTTGGCCGGCCCCAATTTTTTTTTCAGAGGGGAATATTTTTTTTTCAGAGGCGGGCCGTATTAAAATGACCAACGGGCCGGATGTGTCCCGCGGGCCGTAGTTTGCCCACCCCTGTCATAGGGCCTTTAAAAATAAAGCTTGGCATGGTATCAAAGGCTGCAGTGGGTAAAATAAAATAGCTAAAAAAGCAATGCTTAACTTGTAAAACTGAGAATTCATTAATCATTCTCAAATTTCCAAAATTAAATCCTTAGAAACTTATTCAAATATTCTGAGGAATTATGAAGCATCCTGTTTTAATATCAAGCACCGATAGAAATCATTTTTAAAGCAAGAGTAGTAGGTGAGAAGGCTCATGGTGCTGGAAAGGCAGGGCAGGCCCACTGAGTAGGTGCAGAGCAACAAGAGGAAGAGAACTATGAGAGAAATAAAGTCAGCTCCTTTAACAGTTCAGTGTATTTGTTTGCGCCAAAAGACAAATCAACTGCAATGATCCGGATTTTGCTTTGTCCAGATCATTAATCCCCCAAGAATGATCTGGTTGAATGTCAAAGGCTTCATTCTGTCAACAAAGCAAAATATAGTTCGACTCTGTGTCTGCTGACAATCAAAATGTGTACTTATAGGAGGCAATCCAACTTAATTTCAAATCTGATGCATTTTTCCAGTTACATGCATTACAATGTGTAAATGGCATGCAAGCCTTCAGCAGGCAAGTCCAGGACAGCAGATCGTCTTGTGGCTTTCCACCTTCAGACAAATGAGGTTATCAGCAAGAGAGGACAGAAATTTGTTAAATTTCTGACTTTGGGCAGAGTAAAATTCCAAGTAGAAATTAGGATAATTGAAAACTCCCATTATCATTTTGGCAAGTAGACTGCTTATCTGATATAAGCCCTCACATCACTTTTATACTTTTCTTTATTTGTTCCCTTATGCATAAGAAGGAATGGCTAGTGACCAGAATGAATGCATGAGCCACAGTAATGTTTCCATGAAGTCCTAAATATGTGCACCAAGAAGACATCACTCTTCTCACAATAACTAGCCTGGTCCACACACATCTGCTTCTGACCCTTGCAAGGGTGATCCTTTCATCAACACCAACACTATTTTTTTGTTTCTCAGTGAAAAGCTTTTGGTTTTGTTGATCCACGCAGTGTTGAGAGTCCTTTCAATTATTTTGGAAAGCCTGGGGTAACTGAATTATCTCAGGAATTGTAGCTAGCTTTTCATTTTCACATGTTCAAATTGGCTGCTGGCTCCAGAGGACAAACCTATTCCTAGTTTGCCCACTGTTTTTTTGCTAGATATCACCAAGTACTCACTCCAGCATTCCTCTTTGTGGCCCTCTTCTTATCTATCCTGGTCCCAAACATTCTGTGCCTTCCCCTCCTTGGAAATCAGCTGTTTCATGAAAAGCTCTGAGCAATCCTGGACTTTACTTCCCTGATGTGTCTTAAGAGAAGATGTCCTCCAATTCTTTTACCTTATGCTTCATTAAAAAGACAAGTTTCCATTTGCAATAGGCACAATTAAGATACCACTCTAGTATAAACAGTGCATTCCTGGCAGATAATCACAGAATATTCCTCATTTTCCCTGTCAGATCTCAGTTTGCCTTGTTCTTCCCCAGCAAAGTTCATTGGCTGCTGTTGCTGGCTGGCTAACTCACTCTAGTCACAAACTCCTTGTTGCCTGATCTCTTCCTAGGAATGATGCCTGAGGGGTAGCCACTTGCTGACAAATGCAGTTCCAGCCACTAGCAGTCACTTGATTACTGAGTCAGCTACATCTGTAAGTTCAGACTATGTACTCAGCAAACAAGCAATCTACCCCCGGGCCAAGAATCCACACCATGCCACAAAATCAGCCAAATGCCCCTCTTCTACCTCAGTTCACCTTTGTAATTTGTAAGCTCCCTTACAAAATGCCTACTACGTTCCTATGTTCTCGTGAGCTCTATGTTTTTACAAACTTTATACATAATGGAGAACTGAACAGAATGATAGCCATTCCATGAACCTTTGCCAGAGGGATGCTGCTTTAAAGAAGCTAGGTTGACAGATTGTTTACATGATTAAAGCAACCTCCACCCATTATTCAAACCTATCACTGTTCAATTGACAATCATATGTCCACAGATTATATGCAATTCTATTACCGTATATACTCGAGTATAAGTCGACCCGAATATAAGCCGAGGCACCTAATTTTACACAAAAAAACTGGGAAAACTTATTGACTCGAGTATAAGCCGAGGGTGGGAAATGCAGCAGCTACTGGTAAATTTCAAAAATAAAAATAATTAATTTGGGAAACGAACTCACTATCATGAAAGGTTTAATTGATTCACTAACCCAAAAGAAGAAGATGATGATGACAGCGGGAGGCAGGAGTCACTCTCTTCCCCTCCCTCGGAGGCCCCCTGAGTCAGGAGTCACTACCGCCGGCGCGGCCCCAGTCCCGCCGCCTCGGGAAGGGAAAGGCAAAGCGCTTTTTGCCTTTCCCTTCCCGGCTGGGGCTGTTGGGAGTCGCTGCCGCCGGAGGCCGCGACTCCACACCATTTTTTTTTTCAGAGGGGAATCTGACTTGAGTATAAGCCGAGGGGGATTTTTTCAGCACAAAAATTGGGCTGAAAAACTAGGCTTATACTCGAGTATATACAGTAAGTCTGAAGTGTCGGTGTATTCTATGATTATTGTTCCTATTGGTTTTATTATTTTAAAATGCTTTACTATTTTGATTGAAGTATATTTTTTGAACCGTAAGCCTTCCAAAGACACTGACTGAGATGGGTTGGAAGAAAGAAAAAAAGAAAGGAAAAGAAAAAAGGACGGAAGGGAAGAAGGACTTAATTTTAAATGAAACAGTCAAACGCATCCAAACCCCCTTGAAATAGGAGGTTTGAGGCTTGATGACATACTCAAATGTGAAAACCAAGCATCCAGGCTTTAAAAAAAAAAAACACTTTAAAGAATGTTTATAAATTTGGGGACCAAGCAAGAGTTCTAGCCAGACTGCAAAGGCCAACATTCAAGGGGAACCTTTGGCTGTCCCTGCCATGAGTTGTGGTACTACTTCTACTGCAAGCTTGCAAACAACCTCTTAAAACCAGGAAATTTTCAACACCACCACAAATAGATTGGTCTCTGAGGCTCTGAATTATGCTGGCCAGATAAGGGATTAAAAGGCACTGAAATCAATTTGAGAACATTAAATCCTCCCTGAATTTTCAAAATGGTCAATTTAAAATACAGATAGTCCTCGACTTACAACATTTTGCTTAGTGACCATTCAGTTACAATGGCATTGAAAAAAGTGACTTATGATCGTTTTTCACACTTACAATCATTACAGCATCCCCATGGTCACATAATTTACATCTGGATGCTTGACGACTGACTCACATTTATGACGGTTGCAGTTTTCTGGGGTCATGTGATCCCGTTGCAACTTTCTGACAAGTAAAGTCAATGGGGAAGCCAGGTTCACTTAACAACTGTGTTACTAATTAAACAACTGTAGTGAATCATTTAACAAATATGGCAAGAAAAGTCGACAAATGGAGCAAAACTCACTTAACAAATTTCTTACTGACCAACATAAATGTTGGGCTCCATTGTGGTTATAAGTTGTATAATTCAACATTTAAAAAGAACAAAGAGTATTTTTAAATCTAAAAACTGATAATAATCAGGTATGAGAAAAGCTCCAGTTTTTGGCTTCGCATAATTTTGCTTCAGATTTAATGAGATTCTCCTTCATGCATCTCGGAAAAGACAAATGTGGACATTATGCAGTATTGGTCAGCTAATTATGGACATATCAAATGAGAACACAGAAAAGCCACCTATTGGACACATCCTCCATCATATATAATATAGTATATCAAATTGTCTAATAGACTTTCACTGTATCATGATTATACTATGGTTCATTTCTATTGGTTTCTGCGAATGTAATCAACATGGTGATAATTAAAACTAAAAATGTTTTCTTGCGCCTTTGTTTGATAGAAAAAGAATATACAGAACTTGCTTTATAAACACATACTCTTCATTACTAAATCTCTACCAAAACAATAAATGAAACTAAGCCATCTTCAGAATGCTTACCTGCAGCAATCACTGGCTCTTTCATAAGTTCTTTGGTTATGGGACACAGGAATTCATCAGGAATATCTAGAGAAGCAGCTTTCATCTCATTCCTGAGCTCCTCAATGTTACGCAAAACTTTACTGCGAAGACCTAGAGATTCTGGAAAAGTCATATTAGAGACTTCAGTGATTAGATCTAACTGGAAAATAATACAAGGCAACCTACAGTTAACAAATTATGTAAAATGATTTTCTTTTTGATGTAATTCTCCTAAATATTACAAGCTAAAATCATGTCTCTCTTTTAAATTTGCAGAGAGAACACTTCAAACAATGGTTTTATGTAAAGCTACCTGTAATAGGGACAATATAAAATGAAAAAAATACGTTCTTTTTTGCCTACTTACGTTTAGTTCAAGTGACAGAAAGACATTATAAACAGAAAAAAATTATAGTCAAGAAAACAAGCATGAACATGTATGGCTTGACGTGGCCAAACAGTATCTCTAAATGGCCATGTTTTGTTATGCTGTTTGAAAAAAAACAGATACATTTACATTGCATCAGTAATCCTGTAGTAAATAATACTGTTTTATGTTGTTTCATCTGCTGCTCACTTATTGAATTCTAGTCAATGACTGTAATAAATATTACAAGTATCATCTTTATCTGAAGAATCAAGAGCTTTTTAAGCTGCCCTGGACTTCATTTTTATAAAAAACAATGTAAATTTATTTCAAATTTGGAAATGAGGATTTTTCAAGAATAAGAATTTTTTCTTGTTTTCAAATTAATCTATCTCTACATAACATTGACATGAAATGTTGAAACAGAATGTAATATTATTAGGTAAAGTTATATAGAATAATAAATACTGTGCTAAAAAAAGTTGTGAGTCAACACTTTTTTCTTTCTTCCTTTGCATCTCATATTTTCTTTCCCCCTCTTTTCATTCCCTTAATTTCCTATTTTTATTTTTCTTTGTAATTTGTATGTTGATAAAACAATAAAAGTCAAAGATGCTCTAAGTCAGGGGAGTCAAACTCATGGCGTCACATTGTTGTCGTGTGACATAGTGCGGCTTTCCCCCTTTCACTAAAAAGGGGCTGGGGGTGGCCCGTGGGCCGCGAGTTTGACATCCCTGCTCTAAGTTATATAGAATAATGTTTAATCTCCTGTTGTTTAATGATAATAAAGTGCATTTCAGGTTTCAGTACTGTACAATTCAAGTTTTGGAATTAGAAAAACTCAGTAAATAAGTTAACAACAGTTCTGTTCTACAGTAATCATGATGAAGAGGGCATGCACAACTGTTTTCAATCACAGTCATAGTCCGAGTTAAACATCAGGAAGACAAATTTATATACGATTATAGGCTGAGAAATATTGTGCGGTAAAACAATGAAGGAATGACACACACCTGCAGGTACACCTGCCTTCTTCCTATTCAGTTAGCTTTATCAGAATTATGGAGATCAGCAAATTCTGCTAACTAATGTATTTTACATTTTGTTTATCTACCTTTTATTACAGATCTCATTATGATCAACTCTGCCAAGTTTCTTCTTATTTTCCTGTTTGTAACTAGTAATTAATTCTTAGGGGTGTCATTAAAAGTCCCTATACACTGACGTATTATGTTGATATTTCCACAGAGTGCTGGTGCACTTGTGGGAGAGATCAGCCTATCTTCAATCCCACTGATTTCAATTTTTATATAAGCCTATCATCAGCATTATCTAATTAGTCTCAACTGATAAGCTTTGGCAACTTCAGCACCCTTGAATATTCAACAAAATTCATGGAACAAAAGGGAACAATTATGAAAATTATCTGTGATTTCTACGTGTATGAAACTCACAGATAATGTTCAAATATACATATACACATACACACACATATATATATCATATATTTATTTATAGAAACTAACAATTATTTTTAAATCTTAGAAAGATCATTTGGTGAAATGGCTTTGTGGTTCTCACTAGTAGTACAACGAATAGTAAACATGAATAAAAGACTAACAAAAAGGAAGATCATTCATTTTCAAATGTATTTGATTCGTAAACCAATTCTATTAAAACATGTTATTTCTTGTTAAAGCCAAGTCTGTTATACAATCCTCATTCTCACTTGTTTGTATGATCAAATCATTGTTTGATTACCTGTATGATTATTTCAATAAAAAAAAAGAATCTGACAAGGGGTAAAATCAAGGAATAGAATGTATTTGATTATAAGAGTCAAATAATCTGTATATTTTATACGAAAAGGCACTGAAGTTCTATAACTTGCTTACGAAATCAAGTATTTAGGCCTAAAACCTGTTGCTTGGATTCTATGCCAAAAAAACTATATAAAATTATTTATTAAATGGCAATCAGTTGATAAATACATCATAGGTTCACATGAGAATTGAATATTTTGACAACCTGGACTTGTTATTTTTCTAAATGTTCATATTGTTCTATGTAAGACAAATGCAAACATTCCTAAAACCATTAATGTTACTAATAGCTATGCTGTTTTGCATAAATTATGTTCAGAATTTTCAGCTTAAATAATATGTAAAATATTTCATTCAATGGTCTTACCTATTTTTAAATCATCAGTCAAGCTCTCTTTTGTAAGATTTAACAATTCTTTACCATCAATATTGTTTCTTTTAAAAATCTCAACTAGGTCTTGCAAGTTATGTGTTTGAAGCCAAATGGAAACATCATCTTCTGTCCAGTTATCAATAGAAATCTTTGATTCCCGTATCAGAGGACTTCCTGAGAAAAGATTAAAATGAACTCACATAGCTAAATAACACAAATTAAAAGAAATAATTGAAACATTGCTCCAAGTATAAAGGGTGGCACAAATATAACATTTATCCTCTTTTTTACATCAGATTTTAGCAAATGCAATGTAACATAAATCTTTTTGATATGCTATATAATTAGAAGACATATATTTCTTTATTATTTTCTTTTAATGTATTGATCCTGACACATGTTCAACATATATTTCCTTGTGCTGTTAATTTTTTTTACTTTTTTTAACCTGATTAATTTTTCCATCTGTGTTTCCAAAAAAAGTACTTTTGGAAGGCTGAAAGATACTTGAGAACAGCGTTACAATTCACAAAGCCATGGGTAGCAAGGAAAGAGTGAATTGATGAGTCACCCTATCCTCTTCTTCCAATGTACAGCTTCTGGAGGATCCCATTTTCTCAACTAATGGAGAGGGACAGTCTATAGGATCTGCAGTGACACAGTGGTTAGAGTGCAGTACTGCCGGCTGCCTGCAATTTGGCAGTTCAAATCTCACCAGGCTCAGGCTTGACTCAGCTTTCCATCCTTCCAAGGTAGGTAAAATGAGGATCCAGATTGTTGGGGGGCAATAGGCTGACTCTATAAACCACTTAGAGAGGGCTGTAAAGCACTGTAAAGCGGATATAAGTCTAAGTGCTATTGCTATAGTTAATGCACTGCCTTACTGCTTTCATTATGTGATATTTTAAAGTTTTTGTAAAAGACCAAGTAACAATCAAAAAGTCTGATGTACACAGTTCAAAATTATACAATTAAAATGTGTCTTTCCTTGAATTTTAATAGGATAGAAAACTCTTGCTCGAGACCTCTTTGAGGCCAGAGACAAGAATGACTAAGCTGAATTGCCAGCCTGAAAAACAACACATTCAGATGAACGGAATAACTTGCCTTTGATTATAAGTAAAGATAGAATCATCTAGGGTGATACAAAAATTGATTGTTGCTTCTACTGAGGAAACAGACACAAGTTCTTTCTTGGGTAATTTCTTTAAGTACAAATGAGTGTCAATCCTTTTAGATATGCCTATATACTAAAAGTAATGAGAAATTGGTAGAGCAGTAAGAATATTTTGTGGGGGAATTAATTGGTTGGGGCAGGTGAGGTGCTAGCCTCAGCCTATTTCAGATGGTTGGCTACAATAATTGCATAGTTGATTGGGTTGCTTGATTTGGCCACTAGTACAACAAACTAATATTCATTGAAAAGTATATAATAACATGATGATTTAATCCTGGATTAATATTATGAACTGACATGTGTGATTTAAGCTGGTTGGATAAAAATGGAGGGCCAATTTAATCCAAAAGTACAACTGGATTTCCAACTGTATCTTTCAAAAATTATGGAATAGGAATTTTTCTTGGAAGCAAATTGATTATTTCTCATTGAGGCTTGGGATTAGATAAGGCTTCTATTTGGAGTCTTACTTGAGACAAAAGGCAACCAAGAAAGTATTTTACATATAAAAGTATGTGGGTTTAAACTTGGGTGGTAAGGATGTAAAACAAATTGATATAATGTTTATAAGGCAGGAGAAAAAAACGTTTTAGTACTGACCTGTGAAAAGTTGTTCTGATTCCAGTTCCCAGATGTGGACACATTTATCCATTGAACCGGTAGCAAATAATGGCATATCTGGTGCAAAGGCACAAGTTGTAACATATCTAGAAATAACATGTTATTTGATAAATATATGTTACATTTCAAATGCTATCCTATAATAATAATAATAATAATAATAATAATAATAATAATAATAATAATAATAATAATAATAATAATAATAATAATAAAAATAAAAATAAAAATAAAAATAGTAATATACTAATACATGCCAATGGCCTACCTGGTATGCTGAGTCAAAATGTGCAGGTTGCTCCCAGTGTTCTGTCCAAACCAAACAAACAAATAAAAAAATAAGGGAATTTACAACTAACTTTACACACCATTTTTACATCCAAAGAGTACAGATGTACAGAATACATTTAGAGAGATCTATAATACAGGAAACTGAATCTATTAAAAATTGCAGTAGATCATTATCAAACATAGAGAAAAAGGTATCCCTTACTCAACTGGGCTTACAGGAAAAATATTCTTGCAGAATGTCCTAAAAGGAAGCAAATGACCATCTGTCTGCAAGGAGTATAAATTCTTCCATTCCCCACTATCCTGCCAGAGCTGAAGAAGCTTTGCGGATAAGAAGTGAAATGTCTTCAAAAGGAAAAAAACAAAAGTCCAGTTGCCTCCTGAAAAAGCCCCTTTGGAACAACCAGGACCTGGATGACTGAGAATCTCGACAAACTTTTAGCTATACAGTTTGGGATGAACACCCTTTGAATGGTGTGGGAGTAAAAATGGATTTCCAGAGGAAAGAACTGCAGACTACAGGAACACTACAGGAGCACTACTCAGGTGACCCTGAGGGGACAGATAAACCTCCAGGTGCTTCAGAGACCCTCTAAAAGGATGCAAATGACCAGCTGTCTGCAAGGAATATAAATCCTTCCATTCCCCACCATCTAGTCAGAGCTGAAGAAGCTTCTTGGATGAGAAGGGAAAGAAAAAAAAACCAGAAAGTCCAGTTGCCTCCTGAAAAAGCACCTTTGGGATATTCTTGCAGAATATTTTTGAAAAAAACACTACCCAATGTTTATATATAATTTTGAAGATTATTTAGGATTATGGATTACTACATTCTTCAAAAATATTAAAAAGTAACATAAATGTGACTAGAATTCATTATGCTGCCACCCAAGTTAAGTGGATAACAAATCCTGTAGTTAGCTTCTTCACCACGAGATGCTACCCTTCACAAACATTGTTCTTCCATTGAAAAAGCTATTTTTTAAAGCACTAGTGTCAGTTTATAGTTTCCAATAATAATTTTGCTCATTCCTAAGGTACCATAAAAGTCTTTCTTATTATTTTTGCAATTCATAATTTTTTCTAACATTTATCTAAAGTAAGACATTGAAGTATTATACATACAGTACTCAAATTAACCTCAAAAATACTAGAGAAATATTCCAAAATTAACTATTAAAATTCCCCATGATTGTATAAAAAACAAGCTTGCAATAAAAACTTACAAACAGATAGCAAGCACATCATCATTTGATATACCAAATAGCAAGGCAGATTCTTTGGCTTTGTAAAGACCAGTGATGGGCAGATAGCAAGTTGTATAAGCAGTTGTGTACTGTACAATATTTCATTGTATATTCACTATCACATAACTGCTTATAGAACTTGCTATCTGCTTGTTTCTACAAAGCCAAAGAATCTACCCTGCTATTGTGTATATCAAATCCCCATTTTCTATTTTTAACTTTCAAAGACATTTGGACTAACAGTGAGTAAAACTTCTGTACCATTTAAAGATAGATATATTCCTCTAAGTGACCAAAAAGTACATGGAGAAAAAATATCAGAGTCATGTTTCAGTTGAGACTGCAATCTTTTCCACATTAACAGTACATTGGATATTAAAAATGCCTTTGTCTCCTCTCCCCAAATTTTTTTTCCCATCTGCATTAGAAAGTTGCAGCCCCCTAAATCAATTTTGGTAAATGGCTGATGAAATTTATCCGCTGCCAGATAGTTGATCTTGGATATAATCCATCTTCTTATTTCATTTTTAATTAAAGATATAATTTTTAATGAAGTAGAACATTTTCTGGTTGTCAAGAAGGGAAACTTTTTTTCTACACCCTGTAAACTACTTGGAACTGTAATGCGAACAAGTGACATATAAATATTCTAAATATTTTTTTACAAATAATTCTTTGGAATAATAGATTCAAAGGGAAAAAAAGGCTAAAGCAAATACCTGGCCTACATAGCTTATCATGAAACACACTAGTTTGGCATTTGTAAATGATAGGAGTCAAGTTCCTTATGGCAACTTTCAACTCTCAGAAAGTATTTATCTATTTTTTTTAATTACCAAATTTCTCTGCTGTTTTATGTTTCTATGAACTTACTCAAGAAGCTAAGTTCATATAATTCCATCCTTCCAGTCCACAGAAGAGGATCAGAAAGGAAAGGAAAAATACAGAAGACAAGTGACTAGCAATGAAAATAATGATAGTGGGAGATATTTAATTTCTGTAACTCTGATCTATATTTTCTGATGGATTGCTGGGACAAGACATAGTACAATGATTAAGAAAACCCAAAACATGAAATTGATCAGAGGGCTTAAAACTGCATTTTTTTTCTTTTCTTTCAGACATAAAAACCTGAAACCAGGACTTATTCACCGTAGAAAGAAATGTAAATGACAATGTAATGGGGTCAGATAAAATCTACACCTGAAAAATCAGGAACAATATTGATTCATAAAGTTCAGTTTGTATGCTACTTAAAAAACATGAATTAAACAATATGAGTTTGGATACTTATTATAGGAAGGTTTAGTTGCCCAACTCCTATAAAAGTGTGGGGTACTTATGACTAGGCTTACAAGTATAGAAAACTTTTGCTGAACTTTTTACAATTTAAAATAGAATAAAATAAAAATAAGAGTTACCAAATAAGCAATTTTTGCAATGCCTACTAACAGAATGTTAATATATTGTTATCCTTGTATAACGAGGGCTTGCCCTCTTAAATACTTAAATACTTACAGTTTCAAAAATCATTACAGTTTTGTCCACAGACCTAACAAGAAAAAAAGATGATATATCATAACTGCATCAGTACTCATCCTTGATTAGTTAAAAAAAGGTTTCAATCATACAAGAATCAGAATAATATGAACAGCAAACAGTGAGCAAAAAGCTCAGTACTAGAGTGCAGTGATTATTATGAATAGTTAACTTTCCAATAACCTCCTTTGCAACTCAAAGGGAATGAAAAGAAATCCAGAAGAATTAGAACCATCAAAATAATATGTTGAACATTTTAAAAGCTGAGAATCCAATAATTAAGAATTATCTCTTCTATAAGAAGTAATATATACTTCTTAAATGATTTTGCTTGTTGGCTTTGATTTGTATTCTGTGTACAGGTAGTCATCGATTTATGACCAGTCGCTTAGTGAACATTTGAAGTTATTATGGACCCCTACTTACAACCTAAAATTCCAACAGCCCCCATTGTGATTACATTTTGGGTGCAATTTTCGATGTCCCTCCACCCCCAAACCCCCCAGCATTTTCTTCAGGAAAACTGCCTATTGCAGACAATGGATTCACTTAATGGCTGCTGTGCTCATTTAGTTGTGGTGACTCACTTAATGACTGCTGCAAAAAAGGTTGAAAAATCAGACATCTGCTTAACGGTAAATAAAGGTCTATCTTTATAAAACACAGAACTGGGAAAAACTAAGAACCAACTGAGCAAACCAACTACAGAAGTAAAACATATACTTTAAACAAAGATTCTTACCCAGTAACTAAAACCTGCCCATTGGAGGAAAAAGCACAAGCCAGAACGGGGGCAGTATGTCCACTTAAAGTACATCTACATCTCAGGTCAAATCCTAAACATTGAAAGGTGAACAAACATTTAATGAAAATATTTTTTTATCAAATTACAACCTTGTCGCCTTTGAATAGAAAGTAAAATATACTGCACAATGCAGTATCTAGGTTGTATTTTGTGTTGTAAATCTGGCTGCTCTTTAATTTTCTAGTTCTGTATTCCATGAAAGCAAGGAGAGTAGGATAGAAAGGAAGGCTTTTTTTAAAATGCTATTTTTGTAACAAAATTTTCTGATCATCCCCTCCACCCCCCACCCCCAAATGTGCTTTGGAAGCTCTTTAGAGTCAATTCTGGAGCCAAAATAGGGAATATTTTGATCTGACAGAGCCATACATCACTGGATATTATTAATGAATGCATGTTAATGAATTCATATTCATATTAATGAATGAAAAATATAACTTTTAACCCTCATTCTAATATCAATCAAAATTATGAAGAATAATTACATATGAAAAAGCTGCACACTCTCTTAAGAATGATTACTTTCTTTACCTTTCTCTCTCTGTTGTTAGTGTTTTTATTGATTTATCGTAATATGTTACTTTACTGTATCATCAATTATTTTCTTTATTTTTTATACAATTGTCAAAAAGGATTATTCAGTTGTTCAGTAAGATACTTTTTTTGTCTTATGGGTTTGTTTATTGTTTGAACAAGACCTAATTAAAAATCCAAGCAGTGGAAAGGCAAGTAATTTTTTTTAAAAGAATAAGCATTTTTAAATTCAAGATACCTGTAGAATCAGAAGATGAAATGAGCCAGATCTTACTTATGCCATCCTGACCAGAAGATGCCATTCTGAAATAATCAGCATCTTGCTTATCTGATAAAATAGATATATATTCAGAAATGCATGAGAAATGCATGAGAAACATAACAAAATAAGGTTTTCTATTTTTTTTCAATATCCTCTTCTAGTAAACTAAGCACAATTAGAAGTTTGCTGCACATAACTCAAAAATCTGGTGGACTAAATGTAGCCCTGTCTTATGACCAGAATTGTGACCAAAATTTCTGTTGCTAAGCAAAGCGGTAAATAAATGAGGAATGGCTGAGTTTATTACTTTTTCTTGCCACATTTGTTAAGTGAGTAACCAGAATTGTTAAGTGAATCATGTGATCATTAACCACATTCAGTTTCCCCCGTTGATTTTGCATGTCAGAAGCCAGCTGGGAAAGCCTCAAATGGCAATCATGACTCCGGGATGATGTAACCGTCATAAATACATGTCAGTTGCTAAGCGCCCAAATTTCGATCACATGACTATGGGGACAGTTGTCAGTGCGAGGACTGATTATAAATCACTTTTTTCTCTGCTACTGTAACTTCAAGCGGGGGCTAAACAAATGGTGGAAAGTTGAAGACTAGCTATATCTAGTTTGTTTTGTGTTGTAAATCAGATGGTTCTTGAATTTAGCAGCAGCACGGAAGCAATAAAAATATGCTAGAATGGAAAGATTTTTTCCATAACATAACAATTGTTCTATGTAACCCCTCCAATTCACACACGTTTAGTATAACTTAAGGAATCCCAAATAGACAAGGATAAATGGACATCTTTCATTCTAATTTTAACTTAAAAATATTGTATATATTTTAGAAGGGCTTAATTTGATATATGGATGTTGACATTTTTCCTATGATACTGGAATTTGAAATCATAACACTAGCTGAACTGAGCATAGAATATTCAATTAGAAGCCAATTAGCAATTCCAAAACCACATTTATTAGGAAAAAATAAAAAAATGAAATTAATTGCTTTGAATTTGACAACATCTTTCATATGAAGAGGTTAAAGTTATTGTCCTTTTAAAGTGTGTTCAGTGAAAGCAAAGCAGCATTATGTATGATTGTTGCCTCGAATTACAACAAGTAAAACAATGAGATAAAATCAAATAAAAATAATAAATAATTTCGCATGATTTTAATTGCAGCCAAAATTCTTTTCTACTTCAAGCACAATTCTTTAAGTGAAAGTAGAATATGATAAACTTTTTACACAATACAATCCTCTGCATATCTACTAAGAATTAACTCCTACTGTGATCAATAGGGCTTACCCCCAGTAAATATCTTTAAGATCACAGTCTTATATGCCATACATACTGCAAAAGAGACAGATCACTAGACAGGAAATATTACTTAAGGGGAAAAAAGTGATTTTAGATCCATTACATTGGAATTAAATTAAAGAGAAACTTCAAAAGGAATTTATATTCATCAATTATAGTTACTAAGGACAAGAATACAAATAAAAGTTAAGGCTGGAACCGACAAGATATTTTTAAAAAGATGTATTTCAGCAGTAAATTATCTCACCAGAATGTGGCCTTGAAGAAAAGTCACAGCAGGTAACACCAAGGTCATGAGCTTTCTCATTATATAAGTACTTCATTTTGTCATCCCAGAAAGTTAGATCTCCACAGGATGATCCCGTCACAAAGAAGCGTCCATTAGGAGCAAATGCACAAGCTACCAATGATCCATCTTTAACATTACCAGATCTAAAAAGCAAGAACAAATTAATTTGGTAGTTAAAACCCTGTTACATGTTTGGGGGGAAAAACAAATTAAATCTAAAAGAATATTTCAAACTAATCTTTGATGTAACAAACAGAGCAATTATCTAAGCTACAAATATATTGCAACATTTTAATTTGTGTAATTATAAAATATCAAGACATTGTGAATCCCTTGTCAAGGCCAGGGCTATATTTAAAAGGCCTCGTTGAAATTTAGGAAACTACTTATGCTCCTTTTTTTGCTCCATTTTGTATTATGTGTAAATTCTAAATTATGTTAAATCTTAATTATAATTATTTAAAGTAAGCAAGAATCATTAACTTAATTTGTAATTGGTTTATTCTAAGATATGCCAGGATTCACATAATAGGTAAATTAATTTCATGGAAACAAAAAATACAGGATATTGCAGTTGCACCAAAGGAAAAGAGGGCTAGAGCCACAGTTTAGCACTACATCCAGTCAGTTGACTGATTCACATGAATGCAACACAAAAATATTAATCATTCTTATTGAAATATTTTATGCCTAAAATAATAATTATGCAGCCATAAAACTGCATTGTTTCATACTTAATAGAGTGGTTTTAAACATGATACTGTACAGAAGGACATGCCATTTAAAAAAAAAAACAGAAACAAATACTTGAATTTCAAGAATTCTCTTCAATACATTGAAGTCCAAGGAACAGGTTTGCCCTGACTTCCACAGAAGCAACCCTAACTTTATCATTAAATGAGACAGCCTGATCAGCCATTCCCAAGTGGTACCATCAACACTTATTGGACCTAAAACTCCCTTGAGGTCTAGTTCACAGGGCTAAGACCTGGGGTGGGATCCTATCGGCATAACAACCAGTTCGGTGAGTGCACGCTGTGCGCACCTGTGCAATACTTGCAAAACAACTTCTCCTGCAAGCAATCACCATCTCCTGCTGATGTACGGCACTCAGCGGTGCTGCGCAAAGCAACTAAGGACAGCCTAGAGCCTGAGCAGGCAGGTGGGGCCAACTGAAGAAAAGAAGATCTTCGGAGAGAACGGTTTGGTGTCAGCTGCTCTTCGGAGCTACCAGTTCTATAGAACCAGGCCAAACCGGTAGAATCACACCCCTGGCTAAGACAGCTATTGGAATAGAAATGGGAATGCAACTTCTTAGATTATATTAAGCATGAGATACAAATAAAGCTAGACTTAATTCTACAATTTCTAACAGCCTCAGCTTTGATATACTCACCGATACAATTTTAGCGTCTGAACATTCCACACATTTATACTTCCATCAGCTGCTCCTGAAACTAAATATGTAGAATCAGGGGAAAATCGACAAATTCTTAGAGGGTTTCTACAGGGATGCTCCAACACTGCCATTTTCAACCCATCTTGAGTATTCCACAAAATTGTGTTGCCATCTGTAGAACATGAAGCCAAAATGTGTCCCGAAGTAGAGAAGCAACAGCAATGGACAGCGTAAGTGTGGCCTTTCAGTGGTGAGTAAGAAACCTCACCAAAATTGTTTAACGAATACAGACGGACTGTTTTGTCCAAGGAACACGTAGCCAAATAGGAAGAAGAGAAGGCACAATAGTTGACATCATCTTTGTGGTCTGCCAAAGTGCAAATTAATTTAACCATTTGGTGATGTAAAGTTACCTGAAATAAAGAGAACCAAAAATCAAGCTGATTCGTAATTTCTGGATTAAGTTACACTCCATTGAACATTCTACTAAGAAAGCCAATTTATCATTACCAAAATATTGGTCCTCACAAAAAATGCTTTGTCACTAGTTTTAAATCAGAATAAAGGTAAAAAGCTAAACCCAAAATAATAAACCATAATTTGTGGATTACGTTGCATACTTATAGAGACCTTACATGCATTATTCTTTATTTTAGAAAGCCGTCCTTTAAATTTAATTCTTTGCTTGGTTTCGCTCTTGAATTGCCCTTTGAAAAACAAAGTTTTAAACATAATTAATTTTTTTTTTTGTTCTCCTTATAAACCTCTTTCAGATTTGCCCTTTTTTTTCAGGCTGGTCTTTTTTTCCCCAAGGACACATGGGCGCTGCAGGTCTCCTATTGATCAGGCACACTGGAAATAAATGCCTATTTGGATTTTTGTTTTACACAGCCTCCAACAACGTCAGAATCATTTCCTGAAGTCCCTAACACTTAAATCTTGTCTGCTTCATGTTCGAGAGACGTACTTGGATACGAACATTTTTAAGGTAGAGGTCCCATCCTTTCAAAGACTCAAACTAAGAGATTCTCTTCCCCGTTCCCTCTTTCCAGAAGAAGGCGGGGGAACCTCAGAATAAAGCGGCTATGACAGGCACACAGGGGACCACCCACCACCGGAGGGCGCTCTCGTTCTAACGGCCCCGAAGCGGACCCCAGCACTCTCAATCCGGGAGGGGGGCGGGAAACTCTCCCTCCACTCTATTCCTACCTCTACCTACGGCCACCTGACGGCTTCGGGAATTCGCCCGTTCTGTCGGCCAGGAACTGAGGGAGGCGCGCGGCACGAGGACACCCAACCTGTCAGAAGCAAAACAAGATCACGTGGCCGCGCCCATCGCTCTCTCTCTCTCTCTCTCTCTCTCTCTCTCTCTCCGGAAGGGAAAGATGGAAGGGCCGAAAACCGGTCGAAAAACCGGCCGAACCTGTGCTCACGTGACCGTCTCTTAAGAACGCGGAAGCAAAATAAGGGAGGGGGCGCGTGTTGGTGGCGTGATGTCACCATGCTAAACAAGGTCTGGAGACTCCGTTCCGGTTTTCTCCGATCCTATGCATCGGCGAAGGCGGAAACTGCATTTAAGACAAAAATGGGGTGAGGAAGAGGGTTGCGAGCCGTAATAGTCCAACAAATGTGACCGAATTAAAGAATAATGGGTCTTTTGCAGACTTGCCTTGAGCTTAAACCCCTTAAAAATAATCGCTGCGATTTACAGGTGTGTTGGAAGAAATTGCACTTGGTCAACTGTTCAGTTTCCAGATTTTTCAACTGGCAGACGTTCAACAGTCCCCCATCTAAATTTCAAGATTGTAATGATTGCAACATAAACAAGTAATTGAAGCTTTAACCTTTAACCTGGGTTGCCAGATCCAAGTATTCCTGACATCACACAGGAAGACAGTCATTTGTCTAGAAGTGGGTGTGAGTGCCGGTGTGTTACCAATCATATCTACAGATGTCAGGTGTGGTGGCTTTTAATGCACTAATTCTTTCTAGGCAAATGCAGTAGATAGAATGTGATTTGCCTACTATTTTAATAAATGTTGCTGCTATAAATAGCTCCTGATAATAATAATAGCTTTAAGAGGTTGAATCCAATTATGTACAATTTACTGATGCTCAGAATAATCAGGAATGTTAAGATTTTAAATGTTTAGTCAAATGTGAGTTCCAATCAGAACTTACATTTTTAAACATTTGATGGGATAAAGATATGTTAGATTTAATGTCACTTGAAGAAGCGGTCATCCATAAAGTTGATAAATGACTGCTGTCTTTTACTGAATCATTCAGAAGGAGTTCCTAAGGAAACATCCTGTCTCAGAAGTGAATCAGATATAATTTTAAGGTGTTTGGATCAGTGGCCATTACCTGATAGGAAACTCCATAGTATAACTATGTGTGGTATGAAGTGCTTCCTTTTATCTGTCCTGGATCCCAGACTATTCATCTTCATTGGATGACTGCAAAAAGTGGGAGGGGAGGAGAGCTAAAATAAAATTTCAGATGTGTTGTTTATTATTTTTCCTGCTTTAAAACTTTCTTTGGATGGTAATGCTATTTTTATTGCTTTAGAAATATTTATTCTTTATAATTTTATTGCTTTTATGTGTAGAAAGTCAGCACCCACTCCCTCCTAGAAGAATGAAATATTTTGAGGAATATTTTAAAAAGGCAGAATATTATGTTTCCTCAAAGGGAGAAATGGAGAAACATGTTTTTTTAGAGGCAGAAAGCAACCCCCACTTTTCTTAGTAGCCCACAGCAGATGTCAGCACTTAAGAGATAAAGAGCTTATTGAAAGAAGCCAAGTATCTAGATAGCTCTATTCATAGGCAAAGCAAATACTATAGGCAGAAATCCATTCAAGACAGGATATTTTGAAACTCCCTGCGGCAAAGTCTGAACAAAGGTAGGATTAGCCCTCAGCCACAATAGGAATTGCCCAACAACCTTTCAGTTGCACCACCCCCAGCAAACTTCAACCAAATCTGGGAACTCAGACAAACACCTAGGATTTGCATTTTCCCTTTTGCCTATGGAGCCAGCCAGAACCCCTACAGAACCACCACATAACCCCTACAACAGCCAATAGAACACATGTTCTTGCACATGAACAGGAAGCTCAAATACAAAGCCCAAAAAGAAGGTATAAAAGCCACCCACTCTCAACTCCATTTTGTCAGCTGCACCAGAACCACAAACTCCAGCCTCCATTTTGTCTCCGTTGCCTTTCTCCTGGCTTGGAACTGAACCAGATGGGTATTTTTCCCCACATAATGTGGTAAACTGCCTAGAGTCATTTTGAAGGGAGATAAATGACCAATAAATTTAATAAATATATAAATAAAATAATAACAGGAGCTTAGATTCAAATTCATGCTTCTTCTTAGGAATATTCTGTCAATGGAATTCTGCTAACAGATAAAATGCTTCCACATGTTTGTATAAAATTTGCAGTGTGCGTGCAAGTCTGTGTATCTATATAGAAGACAGAAGGAATGAAAATCTACACATCTGTTCCTTCAGTGGAGGAAGTCTGAGTGAGAGTCATATTCACAGACAAGTGTTGAGATCGAAACCAATAAATGTCCAATAGCTACTTGCTTAGTCATCGGAGATATGATATGGCAACTGGGATTAAAAATGTTAATGTAAAGAAAATTTGTTCTGTGCTTTGCACAAAATTGGAGTATTCCTTAGATAACAAGTATATTTTAAAATGTACTGAATGCCAAATGAATTTGTAAGTGGCATCAAAAATAAAGTTTTAGGGCTTTGAAAATTAAGTTACTATAGTATTGATATTTATAGAATTAAATCTATTACTATTTTTGTGAGCATGAATAGGATTCCTCACACAGCTGTCTAGGTATATGCATTGTATTTTCTAGTACACACTTTGCATCATATTACTTTGGCTAGTAAATGCTGCCACTGCTCCTTCTTGGGCTTCCTCTGTTGTTTTATGTGTCATTTATGGCAATTGTGTACTTGATTTATACCCATTTACCTGGAATAAGTGCTATTGAACACAGCATTCTTCTGAGAAAACACGTAGAGGGTTGAACTCTAAATGAACTTCATATGTTCCATGTCATGATACAGCTTAAACATATTTCTAGTTCTGCAAATTCTGCTTAAATCACAATGATAACAAATCTGTTCACTGTAGAACAAGCGGTTCCAAAATGTTTGCAGCAGCTGGAATGTGGTTATTGCTATTGCAGTAAACAAAAGAGAAATTACATCTGAAAGTTTATGGACCCTGGCAGTGACTTCCTTTACTGATGGTTTCAGTTCATGGATGCTTAGAAGGAAATGACCAAATATTTAAAGACTCCGATTGATGCTTAAAATGTTAATTGTCCAAGAGTAGCGGTGAATTACAGACTTTTTAGAAACATAGCAGCATTAGTTTTATTACAGTTAATAATTAACTGTCCTTCACAGCAATATACAAAGACTCTGCTAAGGCCGACTTGCTTTGAGGAAAAAGGTGCTGTGTTAGATGCTTTTAGACACATGGAGACAAGTCTCTGCTTAGTGTGGCCATTTAAATTTAGGCTTTGTCAATGCTCAGGCAAGTATATTAATATAAAAATTGAATACACATACATATGTACATTATTTTGCTTTCGCAATAACAATATGATATAACACTGTAATTAAGAAAGGCCAGAAAAATTATGCAAACAGAGTTCAACAAAGTTCTTAAAAGTCCTTTCTTGAGGAAGAAAAGTTTAATTCAGATGTTTATATGAAAAAAACTGTCAACCAATAGTTGCAAATGTTAACAATTATTTGGATTATTTCCATTAACAAAACTCACCAATTCTTCGAATCTTGAAAGATTCCAAGTAAACATCCCTGACCCACAAAAATGTCTCTGAAATTGTGTCACTGTAAAGAATTATTTCCTTTTTGTTGGGGGGGGGGGGGTGAGTTTGTGATATGCTACAATCAAGTTAAGGCATTTTCTGAATTTTTGACATGCCCAACCCAAAAGGTTAACTATCACTGCTCTAGAAGGAGCTGAGGACCTGCCTTATAATCTTACCTGGTAAAATACCCAGGAAATTCTTATCTTTATTTATGTGCAGTTGTTATCAGATTGGTATGGCTGTGTCCTTGAACAAAGCTAAATTTTGTTATATAGTACTGCCTGTAAAATTAGGCAGAATTGATTATCCCTTGAGGAACCTACCATCAATTATAATATTTTATCTTTTATTTGACTTTAATTTTTAATGGGTTTTTGTTTGCAATTCCGGTCAATGACTGTAAAGAAAATATTCATTCCTCGCCTGAAACCCATTAGGCATTCTAAAACTGGCCAGCTTGCTATATCTGTACATAGTATGAGCTCTCAAAATTTGTCAAATTGCTTTGGCATCTCTGAAGACAATTTTGAAATGTGTGCATTCACACACATTTCAGTCTTGAATCTTGATGACTACCTGGACTAACTTTGCTTTTGCCTCCTTCCTAGGATTGTAAGGGCCCAAAACTCAGCTGGCATCATACATAAGGGAGGGCTAGAAGCAACCACCTCCTGGTTTGAAGCCTTGCTTCATTAACCTCTACTAAAATGGCTGTAGTAATCACTTAGTTCTTAAGTCATATGTACTATGTGGTACAGCCCAGAAATAATGCAATCCAAATGCTACATATCTGAAATTCTCACTGGTCTAAGTGCCAAAAAAGTATTAACAATCCAGTAGCAGAAAGAAAATATATTCCTGTGTAAGTTCTGTGTACCAGAGACAGCTTAATCTTAATAGTAAAAAACTAAAGATTTTCAAACTTTCTTGGTTTATAATGCCCTTAAGAGTCTCAGTAATTTTTTTCACAGCACCCCTAATTTGTGCAGTGTCTGGCTGACATCAAGAATTGCTATTTTCCTCAAAACTGAGGTGCAGAGGTGCAAAGCACAACTATAAAAATTCTTCCTTGCAAAGTCAAATTCTTTGAGATTAGTACTACAGCTGTGAAATACCACTGTGCCATGAGCTTTACTACTGAGTAGATGAAAGTGATCTGTATTATGAGTGAGTGTAATTACAACAGTGGAGACCAGGAGACTATATCCAGTTTGGGTAGAAAATGGCAAAGTCTTATCAAAATACTACCAAAAAAATCTCAGTAACTCTTAGGAAAGCTTCCTCTGAAGTGTGTCTCTATTTTCCAATTAGTTGGAAAAAGTAGCAGTTGAGCAGCTAACTGGAACAAGGTACAGGGATCATATCAGCCCGTATTGAACGATCTGAATTGATTACCATTTATG